ATCCGCCGAAACGTCAGCTCATTTGTGAATAAAGAATAATAACACCTCGCGTTTGCTCAACAAAAATACGAAGAATTTCTGAGTTCCGTCAATCGGTAGCACACTTGTCTGTGAGAACAAGAGCACCGCCTTGATGAGCCAGCAATTTTTGGCTTTAGGGTTCAATTATACATTCAATGACTCTAAATGATGCGCAACAACTAACGCCTAATGCCGCTTTTTCCTTTTTTATGGTAAGTGCCGATAGTGTCTTGATATCTAAAGTAGTTCAGGAATTGAGTACCTGTGTTTGTAGATGACCACTATGGAATTCTATATGATTTTAAATCTGTTTGAAACCCAAACTCACAGGAAAAATGGGGGACTGGATTTGTATTTCTAAAATTTTTTACACAATAGTGAAAGCCGTACACGCCAGTGGGGAACTGCTCTAGTGGGGAACTTTATCCGTCTTTGCTGGATGAAATTCCACTTTTCGGTTTTCTTCGTATATAAAATAGGGAGTTTTTGTACTTCATTGCTAGCTTGGTGTAAAAGTTCGTGGAAGTACATCTTACCACCGCTAGAAACTCATCGGAAAGTTTTTCAGAATTATTAGTGGAGAACATGTTTTCATGAGTCACTCCTGAAATGAGCTCCGTTTTTGGCAAACTATCAATGAAATGGAAAAAGTACAGTGAAGAAGCGCTGTTTGCAAATTGTTTGCAAATGCAAAATAAAGCATTGGAATGATGGTCCATAGGATGCAATACACCTCGTCCACGTTTTCCCAGACAGGTGCAAAGCGTAGAGTGTGGATCCTGGGCGTTTTTTGTTACTGTTGCTTCATGAGTTGATGCACTGCTTAATTCACAGTTTTTTTAGGGCAGCCTTAACGTTCATTTTTGATTTTGCGTGTTTTCCTATTCTACAAGCTACCGAAAATTTGCTACGCAATGGCCCAATACTTCACATGGAACTGCGACCTTTTTATGAGTTGTAATGTATAGTAACATTGGGTGGTTCATTATGTAGCAGTTGAGTGGTTGGCAATACTTGAAAGCAGTTGCCGTTGGCTAAAACGTCTGAATGGACGTTCCAATGTTTGCTGATGTCCTCGAGAACGTGTGCTATACAGCAGTTGCTGGTTGTGAGGTTAATGCAAACGCTTTCCTCGTAGTGCCATACCACCCCCGTTCGTAGTCCTCGTTCGCCTAGCGCCTAGAATGAGAATTTCGCCGTTCACTTCTTCGCACTTCAGCACTGGTCATCGTTCTGTAAAGCTGCTCCGCAGCAGATTCTATGGAGCTGTTGTCTAAAGTGCTAATTGCAGTGACTTTATTTTAGAGTTATTAAGACTCGAATCAAGATGAGGAATGTTAATGCCATGCATCAATAGAATCTTGTCCTTTTGCTACTGTATAAAATCCACAGTATGCTTGTATTGAAGCAATACATGAACTCTAACACCATACCGTAAATGAAGTAAAGATTTTCAAGTTGATTTTTATTAACGTATTTAAACAGTCTTTTTACAGGTCTTACGCAGTGTTTGCTAAAGATTTCACTTTGCAAACCAGGAGAACCACAATCGCGAACTCCTTACATTTTTCCCGGCTCCCATACAACTGAAGAAGGAGCGAAACAGCGAGCTGCACAAGCAGCCGTTCTGTTCCTAAGTTCATGATTGCATCCACTTTGCCAGCTTTAGTGTTCATTTTTTCTTTTTTTTTTGAGAAAGTAATCGGATGATTAAAAACTTGCCATAACATGCCAAAACTTAAATCACCACAAAAAATCATCCAGGAATTAATAATTTACCGGTTGTATTTACGCTTCGGGTGAGGCACTCTGGAAAAAGGGTGTATTTTCACCTATGAACTTGTCTAGCATATGTTTTTGAATAACTGCCTCTAATTTGTTTTCGTAACAATACGCCTTTGAGTGAGTGGGAAATTCATGCATTCAGGACTGCAACTGAACTATGAAACCATGACCTGGGAGAGACATTTTAGGGTTTTACCAATATTTGTCTCGTCTAGGGTCATTTCTGTTTAGAATTTGTTTGTTAATTTCTACGTGATTTCTCAGATTTGCGTTACTGACATGGTGCTTTGGTTAGTTGGGTGTTCTCTATGTCATTTTCATAGAAATTTGAACATGTGCATCGTTATGGTTGTAACTCGTTGTCAGTATAAAATTTCCTTCTGTAGTTACGTTTTTTGTATGTTGTCGATTTCCAACGGTTCATATCGTTTGTTCTCTTTTGGGTTGTACTGTACGTTTTAGGTCGGTTGACAATATATTTACTTGGATACTTGGATGGCTCCGTTTTCACTAGTTGTACGGGCTCCAGAATAATTTCCATTCTCCGGAGATCTGCTGGTTTAGTCGTTCTGGTTTTCTCGAGTCCCGAGATTAGCGAGGTCAAATTCTGCCCCGGGTTGTCACTACTGCAGGCGGTCGCCGCCCTTGTAGATCAGAGGGAAATTTTCCACCAAGCGAATAGTTTGGTAATAGAGCGGTAGTGGATCCTGGTGTCGATTTACTCTTAGCTAGGTTTACTGATGGAAACACCGGACTCCTCAGCTTGGAAGACCCTGCTTGGAGGATGAGCTCACCTCACTGTATACATGATCACTTCCCAACCACAACGAGTAGATAAACTGTTGGGAGCATTCCTCTCCTAAGCTACGGAATCGATCGATTCATATCGAATTGATAGTATAGCTGCTTAATATTACATAGACATGGTTGGCTGCTCGCCGATAATGTGCCTACTCATCAACTCTATATTTTCGATAACACGTCGCTTTCTGTGGTATTGTGAATATGGAGAACCGGAAGCCATCTTTCGTCACACTATATCACGTTGTTTTGGAAAGGTCTGAGGACACATTGAAAAGTATGCTATTAGTTTAGAATATGGACCAGGTAGTGTTTCTGATGATATGGGCTGGAGGTGATATGTGAATTCCATCGGAGACCAGATCTGGTACTCCATTTCTTGGGTTTCGGATACGTATTTGGTTTTTGTTCATTGTTTAACGGTAACGGAAAAGTGCTTTTTTCTTTATAAAGATGGTGGTAGGAACACAACACAAAGACTGTAGTAATTTCCTTCAAAGGCACTAATTCGGTAAGGGGGTGTGGTACAATGGACTTGTCTTTCATGAGTAGACTATCCGGGGCAGGTATACTGAGAGTGTGTTGAAATCATAGGAAATTTATTCGTTACGGTTTATCACCGCATAGTTGGACTATCAGTCCAAAGAAATGCTGCAAATGGCAGGTCTGAGAGCGGTCTCGAAATAAAGTAGGGTGAATGAGGGGCGATTTCTCAACTGGGTGGGGAATTTTCTCGACGTCTCTGCTTTCTTTTTTCTTTGTCTGAAGTTGTTTTTCAGAACAGTGGGACTTCTCATGTGATCAGTTTCGTTGTCAATCGTATTTTCAGAAATCACGCGAATTTTATAGCAATGACGATTATAAATTAAGTTGCCTTTGATGATTGCTGATTCGTGGCTGCTTTGGTCAATTGTAAAGTCCCCACAACGGTTGTGCTTGGATGGGCCATAGATGATCTCTACAATTTCCGTTCAGTTGGCAACTTCCCACAAAAATTGTCATTGCGTACTGTGGCTGTTCATAGTGAATAGATTAACAAGAGGTGATTGCTGAAAGCAGCGATGGGTGAAAACCAGTTGAGAGAAACGCAAAGCAGCACGCGAACCCCCGGAAAGGGTAAACGTGGTTTGATCTGGCTGTGGTCCAAGTTTAGCGAATATCTCAGCATCGTTTTGATTAACAGCTTCCAACGCACCTAGTAATTACTGGGTTGATTAATGTGATGGAACCTGTTACGATTAATAGGATCTTGCCGTTATCATCGAGCAAATAAAGAGGCACTTAACTGCTAAGATCAACCGATTGGTATTGGTGATTAGTATTTGGTATTTCTGCCGAATTCACGTATATTCGAGTCTGCCAGTGGAGCTTTTCTGGAACTTTCTCTCAATCGATAGGTTCTCACTGCTCAACGAGGCACGATGACGTCACTTAACTCATTTTCGGCTATTATTTTTGTTCAGTAGTCAACTTTATCTCGCGGGCATCGAGGGAACACGCTGCGCGATCAGGTGTTCGCTTGTGCTCATGCTGGGTACCGTCTCCCGATGTCTATTTCCGGGCTGGACATTATCAACGTCATAAGTCTGGGTGTTGGCCCTAATGAAGCCCCGTAATCCTTCTCACAAATTTCTTTGCTATTACTTTCCTGGTCCGATAGTGTTTTTGCTCCCGAACCACCTTCTCTAGAGCGGAATGCACGTGGTGCCGCCATGCGTTTACCATTAGGGCGTTCCCCGTTCGCATCTCGCGGGCGCGCCTCAGTCGATGCTCGTTATCTCGAAGTGGTGATCCTATCTCTCTCTCCACATCATTTTCATTGATATTATCAATATCGTTGGTACGCGTTGGCCTTATGGCATGTTCTTAGTTTTTTTCCTCGGTTTTGCCCGTTTTTCTATTTTTTCTGTGTACTTGTTTTTGTCTTACGTTTTTGTTTCTGCGTGTTTCCAGCTCCAAACTAATAGGGATTATGCGGGTCTGTTTCAGTGTGCGTATTGTTCTGCAATGTCCCTTTCTACTACCTTTGTCAGAAGGGCGAGCAGAGTCTTTCCTAAGGTACGACATTTTTCGGAAATGCCTTAATATTTCTGCCATGCATGTTGCTTCTGAGCAATCGCACATCATCGAATCCTTTTCATTTTACCTTTTTTTCACTTTTGTAATGAAATAACTTAGGTCAAAGCAAGCATGGGAATATAGGTGGTTATTTTTATTTTGATTTAACGCTAATTTTCCCGTATTTTCGCTTACATAGAGGTATTTTATTTCCGCATTCCACCATCATAAGGAGTTGTTACCTCGACTGTATCTGTTCAACACCAACAGTTTTCGGGGAAGGCCTTAGGAGGTAACCTAACTAGTTAGAGCGGAGAGTTTTCGAATACGACAGTCAACTTGTGAGTATAGAGGTCCATAACTTAGAAGAAGGCCTTGTCAGTTTGTTCTTGTTACAGTGCATTATGTTACCGTCATGTCGATTAATTACTGTCTTTTTAGTTTCGTAGAATGGTTTTTTGATGGACTACGTAAGGTAATAAAAAGATTTGGTTTGCTTTTCTGTACAAATGCCATCCATCGACTTTTTTGTGTAATCGTGTTAATAAGGTATTCGAGAACCCAGTTAACTGTAGCCTTGAGTTTATTTCTTCTTTTAAATTCTACAATTTCATATTGGTGCAACAAAAATACGGAGGGGTGTCGTAGCTTAACACATTCTTCAGTATACGGTGTTGGATTTCCACAAGTGCACAGTGCAGCGACATCTTCAACTTTTTTTTTCAAAGTATTAAATAGCTATTTGAGTAGCTAGTAACGACATTGGATTTCAAGGAAATTGTTGAATAGTTATATTCATAGGCAACTCGGACATCGGTATGCTTTTCCGTTCACTTCTCTACGCAGACCGATCAGTCTACGAATCTGAAAGAAGTACTTGCCAAGAAAATACCTGCTCATAATGCTAAAGTAAAGGAGTTTCGACAACAGCATGCCAACACTGTGATTCAAAACGTTACTATCGATATGGTAATTTCGATCTCTTCATGTGATCTTCCTTATTATAATAATTCATAGTTTTACTTTCCTAAAGATTGATTTTTGTTGTTTTCAGGTTTATGGTGGAATGCGTTCTATGAAGGGTATGGTAACTGAGACCTCTGTGCTTGACCCTGACGAAGGTATTCGTTTTCGTGGATATGCAATTCCTGAGTGTCAAAAGATGTTACCGAAAGCTCCCGGAGGAGAAGAGCCTATTCCTGAAGGGATATGGTGGCTTTTGTGCACTGGAGACATACCAACCGAAAGCCAGGTGTTTCTTCATCACTAGCTGTAGTTATCTATGTGGTAATGGTTTATTCGTATTGGTATTTGTATTTGATTCTTGTAGACAAGTGCTATCACCAAGGAGTGGAATGCTCGGGCAGATCTTCCATCGCATGTTGCTCGCATGTTAGACAACTTCCCAGACAATTTGCATCCTATGGCGCAGTTTGTTGCTGCTATTGCAGCTCTCAACAATGAGAGTAAATTTGCTGCTGCATATTCCCGTGGTGTTCCCAAATCTAGTTATTGGGAGTACGCTTACGAGGTTTGTTTCGTAAACTAAGTATGTGGTAAAATAAGCACAAAATATTTGTGTTTGAGGATTCTATGGATTTGCTTGCAAAATTACCGACCGTGGCTGCAATGATTTACCGAAATCTCTACCGTGATGGATCAGCTGTTGGAGTTATTGATCCTAAAAAAGACTGGTGCGTCTAATGAGTATGTGTCTGTTTGGTGTTCATGAATTTGAATTATCCTTTAGGTCAGCTAACTTCTGCTCTATGCTTGGATATGATGATCCTCTGTTCTGCGAGTTGATGCGATTGTACCTCGTGATCCACTCCGACCACGAAGGAGGTAACGTGTCCGCTCACACTTCACATCTCGTTGGATCCGCACTTTCCGATCCTTATCTTTCGTTCTCTGCTGCCATGGCAGGACTTGCTGGTCCATTGCACGGACTTGCTAACCAAGAGGTTTGTCTCTTTTCTGGAATTTCTTCCACCTATTTATCCACCATGAGGTGAATATTCAGGTCTTGGTGTTCTTGAACAAAATCGTAAGCGAGATTGGATTTAATTACACTGAGGAACAGTTGAAAGAATGGGTGTGGAAGCACCTGAAGAGTGGGCAGGTTACTAAGATATTTTGTATTAGTGTAGCATCTGTTTACAGAGTAATTCTACACACAACCCCTAATTTTAGGTAGTTCCTGGTTATGGCCATGCTGTGCTTCGGAAAACTGATCCTCGTTACGAATGTCAACGCCAATTTGCTTTGAAGCATCTTCCCAAGGATGACTTGTTTAAGCTTGTGTCAACTTTGTATAAAATTACTCCAGATATTCTTATAGAACAAGGCAAAGTAAGTTATTCTACTTTTTTTCCGTTTCTATTTTCGTATTCATTAGTGTGCGTTCTACTTCTTGGGACAACAGTTCTAATCTCCATGACATCCAGTTTGACTTGAGTCATCTTTAGGCAAAGAACCCATGGCCGAACGTTGACGCCCACTCTGGTGTGTTATTGCAGTATTTCGGCATGAACGAAATGTCGTTTTACACGGTTTTATTCGGTGTATCTCGTGCCCTGGGCTGCTTGTCGCAGTTGATCTGGTCTCGAGGTATGGGTCTACCGCTAGAAAGACCGAAATCTCACTCAACTGAAGGTCTTATGAAACTTGCTGCTGCTGCGAAGAAGTAGCTGCATTGTTTTTGGTTCTAGAGCTATTAGTCTTAGACTTGTTTTGTATTACTTAGATTATGCCTGATTTGGTCTTTATGTTACCACTCTTATGCATGATCGAAAGTAAAGACTTGAAGCGAGAGGCTTATGACTTTATTTGCCAACATAGCATCAATTCGAACATAAGATTAGATAGTCCGAGTGTTGAAGGAATGTTACTGATTGAACAGTTGTTAACCAACATTGCAACAAAAGTGGTCTTACAGACTCCCACTACATTTATGTACGACGACGTCACCTAGTTCGCAAAACGATCGACAGATACCTATCAATTCCCATGTATTTTTCGACTAGCGGTATAGAAGAAATTAATCCAACTCAATTTTGGTGGATCTTTTCTGTGAAATGCAAATTGGAGATTAGAAAAAAAGCAATAGGCTTGAGACATCTTGGCAGGATTTGTTTTATGAGGGATGGAGAGTGGACAATACGTAGAATGAGTAAAAAGGTGTGTACTCCTTGGTAATGCGAAACCAACCTGGCGTAAGCATAGTGTTTGCCAAGGGAAACAATCAGGCACTGGATGCTGGGGGAAGACATACGAATTGCTAGTATGTGCGAACAGATGTTCTATGCCTTTAAACTTTCACTTGAAATGGTTTCCTTGCCGTATAGCTTTGTCGGTCTATATTTAACTATATTACATGATTTGTTGCACCAAAATCTGCCCTTTAGAGTCTATTTATATGTGGATTTATTTACCAAAGTAAATTATAATGAGAAAGAGAAAGAATCCGTAGAGCAAGAAGAACCTTCTGGGCCACTCTTGCACACGACAGAAAGGAATGGAAGATTTAACGGCGCCCGCTCGAGTCACTTGGCGATCTACGGGACGACAGGTGGGTGGTACAAGTGAATATTAAGAAAAGTACGAATCGACCTTTTTCCCGCTTGAAGACCAGAACTTAGCTCAAGCGAAAACTTATTTTGGGCTTGCATGGGTAGAGTGGAAATCCAGAGGTTGATCGTGAGTGATCAGTTACAGGATAGCTCTGTTAAAGTGTAAGTGCTTCTAGTCAAATTAAAAGTCATAGTAAAATGAACAAAGGGTATAGTACTCTATGTTGAAAAATCTCTGAGAGATGCGCCATGCATTCGACTTCTTCAGGCATCGTTAGCGATGATCGAGTGCATATCTGGCCTCAACTTATGTTGGTCTATCGATCTATCAGGACCGTTTTTATACTCCCAGATAGGTTCTGCCCAAATTTGCTGATGTCGATGGATGGATAGAAGGATTGCTGTGCTTGGGTAATGGAATCGTACCAGACCACTGTGCATTGTAGAGATCACTGCTTTACAAGCACCCTAACAAAAGTGGACGTGGAAGAATACATGACTACCATAGGAAACATGGTCGTATGTGGCTATTTTCTACTGGTACAGAGTAGCCGTCATACACGCCCTCAAGCGGGTGAGCTACATGGGTAGTTCAGAACGAAAAACAATATTTCAGTGGTGTCTCTTGGAACCACTTGTGAATAAAAGGATTACAGATGCTACCGGTGATCCTTCCAGAGGATGGAAGTCGGACCGAATTTCAACTCATTTAACAAAAACACTTTCTTGCTATCGCGTTATGGCGTCGAATAACATTTGCAGAAGAAAAAACAACACTTGAATTGAGCTAGAGTTTCAACGATTGAAGGGGCAGAAGTGCTACCCAAAGAACTGACGTGGCAGAAAAACGGGAGGTGGGCGGTCATCTTTGTGTTTGGTTATCATACAGTCTCTGTTCACAGCTTTGTTTTTATATTTTCAATTACTGAAATAACACATTTGTATTTCCAGAAAAGCAGGTCGTCGTCGATCGGCATGAAGGCGATATGACTTGAAACAAAACTTCATTTGCGCGTAAATGTGGTCTCGAAACTGCGCGCATCCTGCCGCTTGATGGAGTTTCTGTTGATACGCGATGGACGCGAGGTCTCCGACGTACTTGCAAGCTGAAAGGAGAGAGCTGCAATCACAATCAGTACTGACAGTTCTACCATGAACATCTACTCGCTACACTGCACTGCCATACTGTGGCACTACAAGGAAGGGTAGCTAGCACGACGGATTTTGACGATGGTCATTTCAGAATTATTTGCTTTACACAGATGATGTGGATTGACTCACTATTAAATGTGCACCTGATATATAATTTCACACTGCTGCTGAGTTGCTGGCTGCTTTTATAACAATAAACGATGCTTTCTCGAAAGCTAGAGGGTTTGCGGGGTTAAAAACATGATAGACCTACAGAGGAGACTGCTTTACAGACCTAGATGCCCAATGTTTACTATGTGTATGATCTGATGGCAGAAAGAAAGAACACAAACGGTGATGGACAGAGCACATCACGTAGGTCTTGCAACTTGAAACAAACACTACGTATCCTCTGTGTGATAAGAAGTTTTTGAACTCCAAAAAATTTAAAACTGTTTGCGTTACCTAAGAGAGTTCGATAGTCCAACCGAAAACGAACCTTTGGAGATGACTCCCTTCTTCGCGGAGGTCGTGTCGGTGCCCGAATGTTGATCTGGAAATGGTAACCATGAGAAACGACACAAAGCTTCCGTAAATTTTTTAAATTTGGTGAAAATTTATTGCAATATTTAAGCTCTGTTTGGAAATTGGTAAAGAGGATGAATTTACATTTAGTGAACAGACAGGATAAAACCGATGGACCAACTTTCGTCAACAAACGACAAACCACCCTGTTATCAAAACACTGGCTGAGATTCATTGCGCTTGGACAGAGATCGAATCACTGGACGTCCGAGCTCGGCTCGCCTTATTAAAATATGCTAATGAGTACATTTATGGATGTGACGACGTATCTGCTTGGTGATCGCCGACACTTGCGAGCGCTTCCCGTGAAAGCCGGTCGTCGTTCAATTACTCGAGTATAGGTGAACTTACGGGAACAATGTCGTAAAGCTATTCCACTGGCGCTGTTACATGAAACTTAGTGATAGTTCGATGTAGAGAAGTAGAATACTTTTATAATATAACAACAACGATGTTGAGATATTTGAAAAATTTAGGACCGCAGGTATCTACGGTGGAGATCGAACATGCTGTTACCCTTTTCGGGTGATAACGCGTTCACCATCACACCATGCGGGTCCTTCATTCCACTATTCTCTCAGCCGTGTTTACAGTAATTATAATTACAATTAATTATAACTTTTATAATAGTTAGGCTTGTAAGAATATTCTTTATTCCTACATTTCATTTCCATGGCGTGATAGAGTGAATGGCAGCGTATTTTTGTAAGTCAGATGACTTCCATGACTGCCGTATGGTAGCAGTCAGAACGACGAGACGGTGATCAATTCATTGTTGAGGTCACTTTAGCACTTTGATAATCGCATGGGTTTTTCGACAACTACAGATGACAAAAATATCTGTAGTGATTATCTTCTCGTTCTCTTTCGTGATAAAGCAATTTTGTGTTTCATCGAAGCATATCAATTCCTCAAACTTCGCACGAAATGTCACCATACCTACAGAAGCTTTGCGCATGTCGGTGACGAGACGTCCAGAACCGACAAGCGTGGTAACGAGGCTCACTGATGGCTCATTTAATAAAGACGTCGATAGTTGGTATAGTCTTGCATAGCTGACTCAAAGCATATCAAGAAAAACGATCTAATCGAAAATAAAACGCTGTCACAGTTGAAAGAGAAGCAATGGAGGCAATAGGGGTTGAAGAAGGAATCGTTAAGACCGAGTACAGCGGAAGCGTTACAATAGTAATCGAAGAGAAGCACGAAGTAGAAATTACTACGATGTTAATGACATATGCTCAACTCACTGACGCTAGTTCGTCGAAACCTACAATTCAACGAAACTATTTATTGATACGAAAGGTCGGATGGCGTCAGGTAGCACGTATGGCTTATCTTCAACGTGTTCGCTGATACGTGTTTAGTCAACGCTTGAAGGATCTGCGGTGAAGATTTGTAGCACGATGGACGAAGCCAAGATCCAGGTCCACCTCGGTCATGTTCAAATTCGTGGTTTATCTACACCCATATTTAATATTATCATGGAAGAGACTACTCCTGTGACGTTGTATTGGGTGTAATGAGAAAAAAGGAATAAGAGATTTTCCGGAGTGGATAGTACAATGGTGATTCGACCTCTTACCAAGTCTTTTTCCCTTTGAGAATCGAAAAATTGGTGACTTAATCACCTGTGACAAACTTTCATCAACGTGATAACACCCTACCATGGCTATCTCAGGACTCAAGGGAAAATCGTAAATGTCATCATCCCATGACATTTACGAGAAAGATGAAAAATCCTCAATAAGCACCTGAACCCACACGCAAAAGGTTCAAAGCGGTTCCTCGAAAGTGGGTGCGTGGAAACTAACTGGATGCAGAAAGCACTGAGATCCGTGTTTCTGCCCCAGATCGATATATACATTTTTCATGTAGCAAACGTAATCGTGGGCTAATGTCATAGGCTACGAAGGAGATCATCAACTCTTTTCGTATTCACGCCGTTTTACTTTTGTCCGCTTATAAACCAATTACAGCTTAAAATACTGTTCTAGTAACTATTTATTCTGGAATACCTATTTTAGTAGGAATAAAAACAGTCCTCAAACGAGTTCGTAGATGAGTATGAATTAAAGTTTCACTGTTTGAAATGCGTGGACAGAAAGAATATGTGTTATTCAGAAAGACGAAACGAAAAACACATATGGTGTGTTGGTGAACACGCTAGCCCCGGAAGGGGTAATAGCGTGTTGGATCCCCAACGTACACACTTGCCGTCCATAGCTCAGCAAATATCCTAGCAACATTGTCGTTGATTTCGCATAATACCCTGCCGTGAAAATTATAGTAGGCAGTAAATAACACCTCCCCACGGTTTACCGCCTCATCGTGGCTGGAAGGTGTTCCTGGGTGTCGGATTGCGATGTACAGAGGGGAATTCATCCCCTAGCAAGGTGTCCCAAACTGAGAAGGAGTCTAGCGTTTCCGTGAGAAAGCCTAGCTAAAAGTAAGCCAATACCAGGATCCACCGCCGTCCTGGTATCAAAGTCGCATGGTGGTAAATCTCTCTCTGATCCACAAGGGCTGCGACTTCCTGAAGACCTGGGGCAGACTTTGGCCAGGCTGACATCGGGGCTCCAAAGAACCGCAATGCCTTAACCAGAACCAGAAAATCTCCGAAAAATGATGATTATGCGGAGGCCGGCATAACTAGTGAGGACGGGCCATTCAAGTGTCAAGTGCCAAGTAAATAAGAAGGTTAACAATATGTGTTATCACTAGGCTTCCTCTTATGTCATCTGGTCGTAGCCTTGGAGAGCAAGTCTCTGTTGTAATCGAGTGAACCGATGCTTGATTTCTTGTTCAACCTCTTAGGAGGTTACGCTATGAGCTTCGTATCTCTTTTAATAAGAAAGAGAATATCTGTGGCCATGTGATCTATAGGCGTTCCTTGTTTTTTGCTGATGGCAAAAGATCGATAGAATTAGCTGAGAGACAGGCGAAACGAAGGACCCGCATGGTGTGGTGGTGAACGCGTTACCCCCCGGAAAGGACAATAGCGCGTTCGTTCCCTCCGCAGACGCCTGCGGTCCGGAGTTTTGCAAATATCTCAGTACTATAGTAGTCATATTTCGCAAAATACCGTGCCGTTAAAAAGAATAGGCAGCAAGTAAAAAGGTTAAGATTGTTCCTTCTTTTATTCTTGATAGAAGTAGAAAAATTTCCACTGAAGTTGAAACCTACCATTCCATGCATTACCTACTAGTTCATTGATGGAGTCAATTTGTATTTCAAAGAATGGCTGGCATCATAATGGTTCGGAATAGTGTATATAGATCTTGAGATTGATTTTTGTTCATTTCCAGTTATTTAAAAACGTTATTTCTGAATACCGTAGTGGTACTACTCAAATTAGGTAATCGTGTTCAGAAATACCGTCTTGTTTGTCTTTTCCGTCCTTGTGCCGACGAACACTCCATTTTCCATGTAGTATTCCATGTTGAAGGTCTTATCGCTGCTCTGAACGCAACGACAGTTAGAAAGTATCCTCGGAAACTGTACAGGCATGTTAAGTGTGACCATCACCTACCGTCTTGAACTTCGTCCCTTCTGGAAGCTTCGTTATATCCTGAAATTCATGATCGAACATAATCTACAATCGCGATTAAGTCCATATTGCGGCAACGAGATAATATGATATTCTCGTAATATCGAATTTTTTATCACCAGTGTTGTGACTAGGGTCCCTTAAGACACTTTTTCTGTTTTAAAGGAGATAATATTCCCATTTTACATCACATTCATCAGAAGTATTACAGCACTACTGTAGTATTTGCACACGCTATAGAGCATATTCATGAAAAAAAACGGCTAATTATGTCAGGAAGTTGTGTGAAAGGTATTGAAGTCCAGCTGTTTGGCTTAAAATGATGGTCATTTGTGGTCTTTCACAAGCGATTTCCAGACATCGGTTAACCTGTATGAGTGAAAACGAAACGAACCAAACCGGTGTAGGGAACTCGGGTTGTTTTCCAGGAGTCCTTCCTGAATTGTCGTATTATCTCAGTGTGAGCTTAACTGCTTACCCTTTCATCCTCGATAACCCACCTCAACGACCGACTTGGCGATGTTGGTCTCAACGATCTCCTGCTGATTGAGGCCCGAGGCTTCAATTTTGACGAAGCCTTCCTCGCTCTTCGGCGCTAAATAATTCTACTCTAAAACACAGAAATAAAGCTAAAAGCAGTAATTACCATTCTGTGATGTATAACGAGAAGCTCCGGATCGGTGCTGCTCACTAATTCAGATATTGTGCCGTCGTATGATGTAGCGATTCCCTGGACAGAAATATGTCAGGCTTTTGCGCAAACCTATCCGACACCCTAGAAATCTAATAACGTGACGTTCACAGCAGGTCGTTATTCAACCACCACCCCGTATGAAATACTCCGTATTTAGTGAACTTTAATGTTCGATAGGAGATCAATCGGCAAGCGATGAATGGAATCGGAGTCGAACAACTGTGAACTAAATACTTTGTTTCACAAAGAACATACCAGTGCCATTAAAGCAATCATGAAATGAAAAAGTGCTAGAATGGCGGATGCAAATGAACTGTGGTGGTCGATTGGTAAGTGAGGAGTGACGCAAACAGAGTTCCTGGATAGTGAAGAATATAAGTAATCTGTTGTCATATAAACTATCCACAGCTGAACTCAGAACACTGAAGTCGACAATCTACGGAATCGCTCAGAAATTGGAAATGTTTTTGTTTTGCGGTTGTTTTGAAAAATAATCCATGTTTTTTGTAGTACGATCAGCTTGGAAGTTATCTGGGAGATGATAACCGGCAGCTTCCACTAGCGCACTCACCCAAAAGCCAATTCAACCTTTCTGCACATTGTGGAGTTCTTATCGAACAGGAGGTAGTAGATGATATGAAGTATGTTTTCTATGAATGCAAGTATGAAAAGGAAGATCAAAATCAAACGTAGACCTGAAAGAAATATTGCATTAAATTCATTCGTGATCAATTTCATGTTTCGCCTCCTAAATGGTCGGTGTTGGTTTCAACGTGAGAGAGTTCGGATGCAACTCGGTTCGTCTCCTGACCGATCGGTACGCGGTTGGAAACTCGTTCGGCCATCCATTAGAAAAGGATCCGAAGGGAAGAGAGCGGCGCTAGGGTTAAAATCCATTCTGATTCCTAAGATCGAGAAAGTTGACGGAAGCGGTGGTAGGAAATGGGGGACAGCATCGTGAGTGTTGAAAATACAAGCTTCGAAGAAAAAATAAGTGAAAAAGCACGTTTCGTGGACTACGGAAGTCAGGATTGCATCGTGATAGAACAAGTGCGCTTGTCGTAGACAAATATCTGTAGATTTTATTGGTATTTATTTAGCTTATTGAGGAGTACTCTGAATTGAGATATGTCAATAAAAAGTAATTTGAAAGTGGCCAGTACTTTATGTATTGAATTAAATGCATGTGGTATCTATTCTTAAATCTTTGGATTTCACCCAGACATGATAGTTTCTTGGTTAAAAATTGAGCAAAAGAAAACACCATGAACCTCTCCGACCGCTAAAAATTATCGGAACACCTAGGTAGGTACCTCAGCAACTCGACAAGGACAAATTTGTAGGTCCGTGTGGTCCGTCAAATCCTCATTTTAAGGAAATCTCTAGCTGATTAGTGAGAATTGTCAAGATTGAGTACCTCATATTCGGAACTAAACTCAGATATCCAATTTTTTCGTAAGGTAATATGTGCGAAAGTTCCTAGGCTTAAAACTTACCGGACACTTCGAAAACGATCACTGTAAAAACGGATAAGAGTAGAACGATCTGAAAACCATTCCGCATGAACACAACAGATTTTTTCATCTCAGTACCAAGATTCCTTCATTAAATTAAGTCGAAACTTTGAGAAGACAGAAAATTCTACCTCGATAACCAGCTGCGTGGAGTAGAATGTGGATTCTGTGTCGTACTTCATCTCGTGGAAAGCCAGAAGTCCCAGAAAGCAAATCAGCAGCACACATATCGTCTAGTGAGAAAGAATTTCATGGAGTTAAGAAATAAGAGCATAATACAAGAAGAATATCTACCTGAATTGCGACTACCAAGCCTTTTAATAAGAGATAGTGATCTTGACGGTTTTTGGCTCGGCGAATATCCCGTCTAGGCGAATGGCAAAGTTTTAATTTAAATGCAGCGAATTTTGTTCTGTATTTCATTGGGAGAATTCTCATTCAGAACGGACAAAATCGCCCACGGTCTGGGCTGGGTTTCGTTGCTTAGAGACTTTTCATTGTCTTCAAACGAAATTGGTGTTTCGTCTTCAATTTTTATCATTATTAATTTGCAAAAAAGGTGCGTGTGGCGCAACGGTCGGAGGCGCCCTGCGGCACACACGTGGAATCGATCCCCGCGCTCATGGCCCACCAAGCCTTCCATCCCTCCGGGATCTGCACATTGGTACCAGACTTGTCTCGGAGGATAGCAGCACTGGCTCGATACATCGATAGGCCACCGCGAGTTATTGTAAAGGGCTGATATGAATTCAGTCACCTCCAAACGATGCTCAATGAAGTCGAATGCTTGGCGCATCCCTCAGAGATGGACCAACCCCAAGAGCTTTATCTTTTCTTATTTCGTTAACTTGCAAGCAAACACTCATACTTACCATCTGCTGGCTTGGCTAGGTTCATTTGAAAGTGTCGTATTTGTCGTTGGAGACATCAACGCCAGAATAGGAAAGGCCAACGAGAGCGAATACAGGATCGGAAATTTTGGATTAGGAGAAAGAAATGAGAATGAGGACCGTCTCGAAGGACTTCTGTCAGCAGCACGTCTCTTCCATGGGAACTCGTTCTTCCAGAAAAAGGAAGGCCGCCGCTGGACATGGGAGTCTCCCAACAGCATGACTCATGCGGAGATCGACCATATCCTGACAAACAGAAGATGGTGCCCACTTGACACATCGGTAGTTCCGTCATTCTATACTGGTTCCGATCACTGCCTTCTTTGCGCGAAGATTCGATTCAGCCGCAAGCTGGAAAAGAACTTTCTTCATCGACCACGAGGAAAAAGTCTCTAGCTGTATACGATGAAAACATTCTAAACGAAGTCCTGCCCAAACGTGACTGATTTATTAAAGAAGACCCGACCGAAGACTACGAGTTACTTGTCGAAGGACTGGAAAGCTGTGCCGAATTCGCCTCAGTTCTTCAAGCAAGAAGATCAGATCGCATCTCCATCACAACTAAGGAGTTGCTCGAAAAGAGAAGGAAACTGGAGCTTGATCCTACTGCAACACGTTTAACATGGCTAGTAATAAATGCCAGCTGTAGGAGAGCTTTGGAAGTAGATCTACAACGGTAGAAGCAGAAGAAAATACTGGAAGCAGCAGAGAAAAGAAGCACTCTGTAAAAATGACGTCGGGACTTATGTGATTATAATGTTCCGCTGTCAGCTCTGATGAACGAAGATGGGATCGTCAAACTTCCCACAATGATATGGAATTAATGGCGGAAACGTTCCACACCAACCTTTTCCGTCTCACAATCCCCGTCCCTGGCCCTAATATCCCCGCTGGAGAAAAGCCACCTAGAATTCTACAGTCAGAGGTTCGAGTTGCGATAGAAAGCATGAAAAGAGGCACAGCTCCAGGAACCGATAATACTACCGCCGACTTCCTTACACCTGGAAGCTACAATTTACATGTTCTTCTCGCAAATGTTATAACAGCCTACCTTCAAAAGAAAAAAATCCCAGACCAGTGGGGGACGTCGCGCCCGGTCATCCTGCCCAAGAAAGGAAACTGAATGGATCTTCGTAACCATCGTCCCATATGCTTGTTAAGTGTTCTCTACAAGCTCATCACGAAGATTATCCTCTCGCGTACATGAGTGACATTGGTTGAGGCACAACCAGTCGAGCAAGCAGGATTTCGAAAAGGACCACATCCAAACCGTATCCAGGGTCATCGAAGTTTGTCGGGAATGCCATTTGCCTCTTGTCCTAACCTTTGTCGACTATGAAAAAGCGTTTGACAGTGTCGAAACGAATGCAATCCTATCAGCGCTCATCGACCAAGGAGTAAACGTGTCCTTCATAAGGACTCTGTCCGACTGTTATCGGAACTAAACTACGAAAATACAGCTTTTCCATCGACCTCTTACAATACCCATAGGAAAAGAGGTTCGACATGGCGACACAATATCGTCAAAGCTGTTCAGTGCCGCACTGCAGTGGATAATGAAGTCACTCGATTGGGATGAGAAAGGCATACGTATTGACGGAAAATTCCTATCAAACCTTCATTTTGCCGACGACATTGCCATCTTCTCAAGAAGTACTAGAGAAGCGGAGGTAATGTGAATTGATGATCAACGAGCTCAGCGAAGCAGGAAAAAAGATCGGACTTCGCATAAATCGAAATAAGACCCAGTTCATGAAAAACCCATGGTGCGAAGGCGAAAAAATTGAATTGGATGGCTTCCTCATTGCAGAGACCATCTCGTACGTTTACCATGGGCGATCAATGAACATGGAAAACAAAATGAAGGAGGAACTAGATAGAAGAAGGAGAGCAGCTTGGGTCGCATTCGGACCTCTCAAAGAAGACACCGACCAACTGATGGACCCGAAAATCCGCGCTCATCTCTTTGATTCTACGGTCCTCCCAGCGTTCTGTTATGCTGCAGTGAGGTGGGATGATAGTTTAACTACGCCGAGAATGCTTCGAACTACTCACAGAGCGCTTGATCGATGTCGTAAATATAACCGGCACTCTCAGTATCTACAGGGAATGGGAAGCTCTGAGCTTCGAGATCCAGGAGAATATACATCGACAGCGAAACATAGATGAGCCGGTCACCTAATGAGAAAAACCGACGACAGATGGACGAAAGGAACAGTATAGTGGACTCCAAGAGAATGCAAACGTCCTTTTGGACGACCACCTACACGTTGGGCGTACGTGTTCGTAAAGAAAGTTAATCAGCTGTACTCGCAGATGCAGTTGTTTTACAGATCACGGTATGAGACTCGTAAGCGCTACCTTTCTCGCACAAGACCACCACCATGGACTACGATTGCGGGAGAAAGGAACGAATGGCATATGTGCCGGGGTCCGCACAGCTGGCGAAGACGGACCGTCCAAGTATCCAAGTAAGTGTCCGTATACGTGAAGACCTACAGCACCGATTTCAATGGTAACAGATAAGGAAGAGGTTGGAATTTAGCTTTCAATGCCGCCTTAGATGCATCGTTCAATTTTCATTTGTCGATCGGGTCGATCGGTCAATGTGGTCGTTTGACAGGTCTAGAGTGGGCAAAATATAAATCGAGTTAGAAGTTTAGATATACTTGCCGTGGGGTATTTCTACTTTTCATGACCCGTCATCACATCTACTGTGCGAATCCAGAGAACATTTCATGCTCGATTCGTTTTACTCACATTCATCCTTTACAATCGTCTTCGAACATTTTGCATATTCCTGCTTGAGGATCTCGTCTTCTTCATGAATGTCGTAGAATGCTGGCTGAGTTCATTCTCCTTGGAATCTTGGAGAGAGCCGAGCCAGGACGTTCCCGACCGGATTAGCGAAGAACGTTGGGAGATGGTGAAATCAGATCCTTACTTCCTGATTATGCGGCTGACCACCGTTCTACTCCACCCTCCTACATTTATGATTGTCAGAAATTTTTGTAGTAGAAGAATTCTCACGTTTGTCGATGATTTTCGATTTAGTCGTCTAGAACTGCATCAGATTTTGGTTTTACGGTATTTTTCAAATGGACCATTGTGTAGCCAACTTTTCAATTGTTTCAAATGAATTAATTGTAATCTTAACCCTTTTATTTACTGCCTTTTTCTTCTTAATGGCAGGGTATGTTGCGAAATATAACTCGTATGAAATGCTGAGATATTTGCAAAACTCCGGACCACAGGTGTATGCAGTGGGGACGAGCACGCGCTGTTGTCCCTACCGGGGAGCAGCGCACTTCACCACTACACCATCGGGGTCGGTCCGGAGTTTTGCATATATCTCAGCATTTCATATGAATTAATTGTGTCCACATGTGTTGTCTTTTGTTAGTGAAATCATCATGTCTATGTTGGAGTTATCAAAATGCTATCGTAGATTACCTGGACATTCTTCTCGCTTTGACCACGGCTCTCGTGAGTC